ACTGACCACAGGGCAGCTGCAGAGAGCCATGGGCTCCTGCTTAGCTGAGGAGGGTTAGTGAGTGGGGCTGCTGGCATTTCTGCTGCTCCCTGAGCAAGTATGAGCATTACTGTGTTGCCTGTCGGTTATTCACGGTAGGCTCTCAGGGGCCAGAAGGCTTGTCCCACTGCCCAGAAAAGTCCTGCTTTCCTCATCTCCCCTGTTGTTTTTTAAACAAACCTGATTCCATGAGGTAATATGAGCATGTTTTCTTTCTCACCTAAAAGATCTGAACACATAGGATATTCTCTGCTGTCAGTGCTTGGTGAAGTCTGTGCCCTAATCCAGGAAGGAGACCTGAGTTGTGTTGCAGTGTGAGCCATTGTGGAATATACTGAGTCTAATGGTAGAGGGCAGGCCTTAAAATCCAATGCTTTAACACAGAGGGCAAAGAAAAAGCAAAGCATGTGGCCAGCTATGGAGCACAGTGACAGAATCTCTCTTTTAGATCAACCCCTGACTCGACATGGGAAAGGAAGGAGGTTAAGTGCTATATTCCAGGTCTTATTCACTTAGTGGATACTGATTTAGAGATCAGTGTCCACTAATGGCTGGGCTGGATATTGTGGCAAGTTCCGTATGAAAGATGGATAGTCACAAGCTGCCCCTGCCCTCAGGGAGTTTGAAGGGAAGACACAGGCAAGAAACAATTGTTGATGGAGTAGACCAGGGCCATGAAGGGAGAGGCATGGCCGCCATGCAGGTCAACTAACCTAACCTGCCACATCTGCAAGAACTTCCTGGGATGACGGGTGCAGCAGGCAGGAGTGCACGGGTCTTCTTCCACTGCTGTATTGGTCCCAGTTCCTGACCAGGGCTCATGGCTTTCTGGGCATGGAAGAGCACCAAGGAATTCCAAGAAAGAGCTCTGGCTCAACCTTCATGTCCTTTCAGTGACCTTATTTGGAAGAGTAAATCTATTGAAGGCATTCTCAGCCAGGTAGCCAGCTGCTTTTATTTCAAATCATTGTTCCCACCACAGCCAGAAAGTGTCCTAAATCTCCTTTCTCAAGAGTTCATAATGTTTTTTTCCTATAGAAGATGAAAGATTTATACAATCTGAGGAGAAACCAGGGTATCTTTTTTCCTTATAAACTCAAATTCTCTGCCAACTTTCAAGACAAATTCCACCCCACTTGTCTTACCTTACTTCACTGGTCACAAATGCTCCTTCAGTTCCCTAAAATCATAACAATTGAGACAATTCTACCTCTTGGAGATTTCTTAGCATTCCTTTGAGAATGACTAAGTCTATGCTCTGCGATATGGAGAGCTCTAGAAGAGCTTTGGGACCAGTACCATCAAAATCAACTGGGAATTCATTTAAACTTTCAAAATCTCAGGCCCAAATCCAGAGCTAGTAAATCACAGCTTGAATTTCAATAGGCTCTTCAGGTGATTCTCGCGCATATTAAAGTTTGAGAAATTGTTCTAAAGATATAGTATAAATTAATTCTAAGTGACAGGTATGTGACCTACATTACCTTTAGCAAGCACAGTCTCACTTTTGAATTTCTTTTCTTGACTAAAAAGAATGAAAACTTCTCTTATAGTATTTTGGCTGTTGCTGATGGACAATTATAGTATTTCTGGAATTAATTTACATAATAATGACATTATTGCTACCTGTATAAAGCAAGCTCAGGATTCATAAAATAAAATTGATAAGTAAATATAAAGTATTTTGAACACAAATACATATAAACACATTAGATGTTTAGAAAATTATAAATGCATTTAAAATATAAGTGCTAAGTGCACATTGACAAATAGAAGTAACTGACAAAGCATTATTCAAAATTACATGAGAAAGAAATAATCAATAATTCAAAAATATATTTTCCTCATTTTTAATGTAAAAATGCTAAATATAAAAATCAGATCATGTGTGAAAATGCCATAATTATGGGCATATTTTTGTGCAGATTTTTCTACCTATTGAAATGGCTTTATATGTTCTCATCAAGGAATATCAGAAATATCTTTTGAAGTCTTCGAATAATTGTATAATGGTTTCTAATGTTTGAGAGGATCTTTTTTGAACAACTTTCAGGAAAAATAATATATATAGAAAGAGGAATGAGCTGTATTTTTTATCCGAAAGAAAGCATCTCAAGTTCATTTCTGTCTTCTTTGGTTTTATCTTGTAGTGGTAGATACTTCAAACAGGGTTACCTGTTCCAGTGGCAAAACTGTCAGATTTGTGTACTGCTGGAGCAGAAAGCCTTTGTACTGGATAAGAATTATTCCTGTGAATGAAGGTTTCCTTTATCAGTTGTCATCCTCTTCTTGAGGATTTTGGAGTTTTAGAAAAATGCTCTTTAAAGGAGAAAACTTTTTTCAATACAAAATTTGAATGCAGCAGAGAACTTTCTAAGTATGCAATCAATATGCAAATAATTTTTAGATTTGTCTCATTTAGGTTCTAAAGTAATGGTGTCACATTAATGAAAATGCCTGAGTTTTTAGTAGCATATCTCAGAACCCAAAATATGCAAACCAAGAGTATAGTAAACAACTGTAAAGATTACCAGTACTGACAAATCAGGTAGAGGTCATTGTCAAAGGACTTACTGAAATACAAGATCAAAAGATAATGGGAAAGAACAGCACCGTGAAAACTGTTTCTTCTAGCTTTTGCTATGCTAAAATTTTCCATTCATTCATCCTGAATAAAAGAATAAAAAATTTTGAGACAAGTAGCTCTCAGTATGCCTAGAGCAATAACATATGTTTGTGGTTGCTATTGGGAAGTCCTCTAGGGAAAATAATTTATCTTCCATTTTAACTTCACTGATTTCTATTTTAATTAATGTCTACAAGGCAAGTACATGCAGAAACCAAAGTGATGTTGTATTTAACATAAGAAATGTTTACAAAAACTCATATTAGTGTGCTTTTCATGTATTCTTATGATTATTTTAGTATTGTGTTGAATCTATTTTCCACAAGTAAATCCTAATTTACCACATTTTACCTGCAGGAAATAGTTTAATTTATCATGATACAACTTACAGCTTTCTTCCAGGATCTAAGTGAGCCCAATTTGGAGGTCTTGTGAAGGTTATCTGTGTAATGGAGAACTGATGTATAGCTCTATCTTTTCTTCCTAAAGTTATAGTGAAAACCCATAGAGTACCTGGGAAAAGCCTTTGTGCATTGTGCATTTTTTCTCCTAGATTCTTCTTGTGATCTTTCTGTGTCCCACATGAAGATATTTAGGAGTAGAATAATGAAGAGCATCCACTCAGACACCACATTTCTAGGCTTTGATTTCTTTATTTGCCAGTTATAATCTGTGTGGCTTTGGCAGGTTTGTGTACTCTCTATGCATCAATGTGCTCATGTATAGAATGAGGAAAATCACAACAACATCTCATTCATAAGACTGTGATATGGATTAAGTGACATGCATATCTGGAGCATGCACATCTGGAACATGTATGTTTATGGTGATGATGAATACCAGGAGATTTGTCACATCCCTTCTATTTTTGTTCCTATGTTCCCAGAAAGAACTGAGAAAAGAGTAGAATTTATCACGTATATCTTTAGAAGCAATAGGATGCACAGAAAAGAAATGGAAGCTGGACTCACACAAGCTTAGATTCCTATCTCACCTCCTACCTACTTGTTTACTGGAGGACACAGTGCATAGGCTCTTTCAGCTTCCACTTTTTCATTTGCAGGGGACAAAATTATCTACCTCAAAAGATCTTTATTGATGGTAAAATAAGTTAGCATGTGTAAAGTATCTAACACAGGCTAGGAGCTCAAAAATGTCAAAAATTGTCCATTTCTCTCTTCTGTCACTGGATGACTTACACTTGTCTGTTTTTGCTTTCTTGCTTCTATGAATAACCTTGCTATGCTTCAATTTCTTTTGGCTCAATAAACTTACTTATCCTTTATCCACGCTCATTAAATCCCTAATCCTTGCGCTTTTCAGGGAAAGCATGCGTATCAATTCAACTGGGGCGTTAGGCAGTCTAGGAGTCAGATCTTCCAGCACAATCCCTTAATCCCTAGAGAGAGAAGGAGAGGGAGAGAAAGAGAGAGAGTGAGGGAGAAGGGGAGAGAGAAGGGGGAGAAGGAGAGAGGGAGATTATGTATATGCGCATTTCATCTACCATGGTTTCAACCAAAATTCATTCAGAACTGACCTTTACACTGAAACTGTGCTAGGTTGTAGGAATAAGGAGGTGAGATGTTTGTCTTGACAGAGCTCATATATTGCAGTGAGGGGCACAGAGGTGTGAATGAGAGCTTAGAAAGCACTGAAGGGAAGGGAAGGGAAGGAAGCATTAGGGAGGGGCAGTAGATCCATCTGTTGGAGCAGCTGGCCAAATATTTAGAGGAAGTGGGGATTTCTGAATCTTATAGGAGAGGCAAGCATTGGCTCTGTGGGAGAAGGGTGATAAAACAGAGTGGAGCGGGTGTTTTGGGCAGAGGGGTCACATAAGCAAAGCACTGAGCAGCACAGGAAAACGGTGTAGTGCAAGCAGGACTTAGAGGCTGAAGACAAAAGAGAAAAACCTGAAGCTGCAGGAGGTGAGAGAGATGGGAGGAAACAGCCCTGGGGAAGGGACAATGTAGAACTGAAAGCAGATTGCAGGAACAGGTTGGAGTTATTGATTGGAGGTTACCTGGAGACTGGACCAGAGGACAAGAATGAGAACCAGGAGGCAGGTCAGGATTGTGGGAGGACAGGCACCACAAATCCAGCAGAGAGGGCAGGGGTGGGAAAGACTGAGAGAAGGGAATGGGTCAGAGGGATGACAGTCGACAACAATGGCAGGACTTTGCAACCACAGAGATGTACACATTTTTATTTATTTATTTTTGTTGTTGTTGTTTGTTTTTTTGTTTTTCTCCGGTACCGGGAACCGAACTCACGACCTTGCGCTTGCCAGGCAGGTGCTTTGCCGCTGAGCTAAATCCCCAGCCCCCAGCCACAGAGATGTAGGAAGAAGAGAAAAACTTGAAAATGAGTTCAGCATGAAGGAAGTGAAGGAGGCAAAGATAAGCCCTTCTTTGTGGCTAGAACGGTCAGCCAGAGGTGGGGAGACAGGCTTCGTAAGGGGATTTTAGACATAGTTTTTGAAATGGCGTTAAATTCATTCCCAGATATCAGCAGGGGCTGTTGAGCCAGCTTCATACCAAAATAACATTGGTGCTTGAAGTTTGTCCTTTGATCAGCTCGCGGTCTCAGGAAACAAACACAGGTACACAGGAAAAGCCAACTGTTTTCCCTTGCCTCTCTCCCTGTCTAGCGTTTGTTTCCTCATTTGTTTCCCCTCTGAGAAGCTCGGCAGGCCATCTCTTGGGGAACCAGTGTGAAAAGTTCTAGAGTGTTCCTATGCTGGTGCCGCTTTGCCTTTAGGGGACACTGGGGCATGCTGAGGTGTCTTTTTCTAGCACACCCAAGTTTTCTCTGATTTGGGGGGTCTCTGTGGCAGGTGGCCTCAAATGAGCAGCATGAAATTCTGAGGGAAGCCTGAAATCTCAGCTGCCCTGAGAGTCCTTATGCCATCCCATTCCTCCTTCCCTGTCTTGTCTCGCTGTCTCCCAGGTCTTTCAGGAAGTAGTGCAGGGCCCTCTGTGTTAGCAATTTAAAGCCCCATTTCACATCTTTTCCTCTTCTTAACTCTGTCAAGACAATTTCTCCTTCTTGGTATTTTCCCTCAGACTTTCCCTATTGATGTCTGACCAGCAAAGTTCTTGATTAGCATTTTCGTAGCCAAAGTCTGATTTCTACCCTTTAAGTAATTCCGGCCCTGTAGCAATTGCTTGTCCTTCGATGAAATAGTTGAAGTTCCTATTCCTTGAAGGCGGGAGGAAGGGGAGAAAGGGGTGAAATGTCAAATAAAAATGAGTATCAGTTAATACAAAAAACTCCAGCTACCTTACCAAAAATAGAATCAGCAATAAAGTAACAAATTTTATTTCATATGAGCCACTGGCTGAAAGAAGAGCACCAAAGACTTATAAAACATTAGCACCTGGGGTTAATAATAGCAGATATGTGAAAAAATACCGTGTGTCGTCTTGATTCTTGGCAAATTAGGCACATAATCCTGAGTGCTGTGATCACAGGCGTGCGCCACCAGGCCCAGCAAGAATAGGTTCTGTTAAAACTGGGTAATACTTAGTGACTCGTTTTGCAGCTGAAGTAGCCCAGCTGACTGGGACTATTAGCCTAATTGTGGTTGCCCCGTCTGTTTGGGAACTGGCCTTTTGCCGATTTTCAGTTGGAAGCCCTGGAGGGGATCTTTTAAGTTTTAAAGTTCTGGCTGTAGAAAGCCAGGTCCTGTGATTTTCTGTTTAGAACTTTGCTTCCAATTCAAAAGGTACTGGAGAATAAATTTTCAAATGAAAAAAATAATAGATATGAAGAATGACCAAAATATATAGTAAATATGATTTAAAAATTATTACAGTAGAAGACACATTGCTATGAATTCCTCTAAAAACACTGCTTTGACTTTGAAAGCATTGTAGAAGTCTTCTTTTGTATCAGTCAGGGTTTACTAGAGGAACAGATATAATACAAGATAAACGAGTGTACAAGGAATTACAAGTTTGGCTTACAATGGTCAGCTACAGAGTTGGATGAGGAAGCGTGCAGAGGGTGTCTGCACGCTGGAGATTGAAGAGCCCAGCCCTGGGCCAGGAGTTCACTGCAGGGTCCGTGCAAGTCCGTATCAAAAGGCTGATGGGTCTGCAATGGAATGCTGAAGAATCTAGGATGAAGGCCGGAGAGCCAACACCAGAAGGCTGAAGAGTAAGTACCCTGGACCCCTTCTGAGTTGCATAGTCAACCTTCTAAACTTCTCAAATTAACACAATAAATAATATCCCAGAAGGGTAAGGGCGTGTCCTTTTCACCCTTAGAGGCAAAACTGTTGAGTCACTTAGCCAAACCTCTAGACTCCCCAAGTTGGTACAATGTATCAACCATAACACTCCACCCCTTGTCAACTTGGCAGTAAGACACATTTCTTTAAACCAGTTTCCAGATACAAAAATATGCTTATAATTACGCCTAACGTGTTATAACTATCCTACGTACAAACATAAATGCATTAATTCCCTTACCAAAATAGAAGGTAAGTTTTCCTTGGGTGATGGTTATTCTTATCATTTCAGAACTTGAACAGTATAACACAGTTTAACAATCCTTAAGGACCAGTGGTAAGTCTATCAACATTATATTACATTAGAACCATATTAGGGGAGAAATAGTACAATTACAATCCTCTTTTCTGAAACTGATCACAGGGTCATAGCTGGTATTTAGAACTACCTTCTTCCACTACCCATTCTGTATTCCCTTGGCCTTCAGCAAGCACCTCAGCAGGTCTTGGTTCTTTCCCTGGTGGAGTGACCCATACCTTCACTCCTGAAGGCTCTGGGCCATTTCTCATTGTGCCTATATTACGTTGTTGTAGTTTCTCATTGATTTTAATAACAGGGCGTGGTAATACTAAGAGGCTCCCTAAAGGATCTCCTGCACTCCACATATATTCTTTCTTTCCTCTATTTGTGGAGTAGTAGTCCAATTTCCCCTTGATAATCTGGGTCAGTTACCCCTGACAACACTGTGACTCCCTTTTCAGCTTGTTTCCTCAGAGGCATGAGGAGACCAAAATGACCAGGGGGAAATCTTAGCTTCCAGTTCAATGGTGTCATTGTTGTGCTTCCTGGTGCAAGCCTTCCCTCCTCTGGAACTAAGACAGCAATAAAGTAACAAATTTTATTTCATATGAGGCATTGGCTGAAAGAAGAGCACCAAAGACGTATAAAACATTAGCACCTGGGGTTAATAATAGCAGATATGTGAAAAAATACTGTGTGTAGTCTTGATTCTTGGCAAATTAGGCACGTAATTCTGAGTGCTGGGATTACAGGCGTGCGTCACCAGGCCCAGCAAGAATAGGTTCTGTTAAAAAGAGTCTAGGGGCTGG